AATCAATTGACAGCGATGTTCTTATTCTATGCATTTATTATGCATCTCTTCTTTGTCTTCAAAAATTAATTGTTGATGCGACTGTACCGAAGAAACCACCTAAAATTATAGATTGTACATATATTCATAATGCTTTAATTGATAAATATCATGTCAATCCATTATGTTTTATTATTATTTATGCTCTTTCCGGCTGCGATACTTGCTCATTTACTCGCAACATTAGCAAGCGAACTTTTATGCAAATCCTACTTGATACTCCTAATGATTTTGCTGATGTAGAAAAGCTGACTGTTTTACCTACCAGTAGAAACGATGTAAGTATATATATAAAGATAAAGTCTATAGTCATTTATATCCTATAAGTTGCAACTTGTGATCATACCACAATCCAAAAACATATTTGACAAACACGGCTTTTCAAAGCGAATGAAACAGAATTGGATCATGAGTCTTTCTTTTTGAGAAATATCGTGTTGTCAAATATAATTGTTCATCGTTCTTTGAAGCACCTGTCGTTTTTCTTGACTTCATATAATTCTATAATTTTACGTCATAGATTGTTGCTGCTGAAACTTTATTTGTTCAATGCTTTTATTCAAATCGACGTCGTCGACAAGCATTGTCTATAACATCAGGACCAAAAGCATCCCATCGAGTTATTCACAAAGATGCATTAATAAATGAATTACGTGCTATCATGGCTATGAATGCCTTAAAAAAGAATTCAACGTCTATTGTCACATTATTACCACCAACACAGGATGCTTTATTTTACCACTGCTTACGTGTTTCTAGACAAGTTCAAATATGGTTACAAGCGCCTGATGGTTACATTAAATATCCTGATTTAGAAGATAGTGGATTCCACATCATCGATGGTCGTCCAGAAGTTAAATGGACATCAAAACTTCCGTTTCCTAATGATCGACAACTTTCTTCTTGTGAAAAACACAAAGGCAAATGTACTAAATGTGTATGTGTTCTAAATCAATTACCATGTACTATATTTTGTCAATGTTCTATTGACTGTCAGAATCGGAAATCGATTCAAACAGTTACAGCTAATTTACAAACAGTAACAGTGAGTTCATTTGATGCTGCTTTTAATATTAAATATGCAATGTCTTTTGTGTCTTTGAACCGATAGAAATCAACAACAGAAAAACATCTTTTAGTTGCACATCAATCAAAATTTGTAACAGAATTATTTGATCAAGAGTATTCAAGTGAAGACGAAATCTACCATGAATTATCTACATCAACTGAAACTTCCTCATGTGATGAGATAAATGAATTAACTGGACGGATAAAAAGATAGTATTTTTTTTTGAATCCAATTAAAAATTAATGTTGACTTTCTTTTAGATTTCATCGTCAAGTCAAGAAGAAGAGTCAGAGGTCGATGGCTTTTAATTGGTTCACTGACAGTTACTGTTTCGCAAGTATTTATTTGTAAAACAAACTCAGTTTACATGCATTTTGAAATTATTAGCTTTCTTTCATGCTCTGCAAGATATTAGATAAAAAGACATAAAGATATTGTTGTCTCTGTATAGGTTTCCGATTTCTGTTGAGAAAAGAAAATAATATACAGGGTGGTCCAAAAGTCGGTTTCCCGAAAAAGAATTTAATATCTCCATTATAGCTTGAACAAATGAGCTGATTTTTTTATCAATGATAGAGGCGTGTTCAAAGTTTATATCAATAAAGACATGCCTAGAGAGACCCTTTGCTAAGTATCACTTATTGATCTCAACAAAAAAATTTTACTTTTTCACAAATAGGAAAAGACAATATAGAGAGTGGCGTAAAAGTCACTTTGCCGAAAAAAATTGAATATCTCCACTAGGATTCGAACAAACGAGTTAATTATTTTTTACCAATGATAAGGGCACGTTCAAGCTTTGTATCCATAAAGACATGCCTAGAGACACCAGTTGTTAAGTGTATTTTTTTTCTATCTGTGGAAAAGTCAATTTCCTTTTGTTGAGGTCAATAGTGATACTTAACAAAGGGCCTCTCTAGGCATGTCTTTATTGATATAAACTTTGAACATGCCTCTATCATTGATAAAAAAATCAGCTCATTTGTTCAAGCTATAATGGAGATATTAAATTCTTTTTCGGGAAACCGACTTTTGGGCCACCCTGTAAGAAATATTTTTCTACAGACAATAATAAACCTGTTGTTTTTTTTTATATCTTACCATTAAGCTTTTAAGATAGTTGATACTTTCAAAACTAATGTAAACTAGATGATTGTTCTATAAGTAATAGTGAATTGTTGTACAACAGTAAATTCAAAGTAAACACTTTGTATTAGTATTGATATTAATCGCATAATAAATTTCTATTGTTAACACTTTATTTTTTCATAAATAAAAATAAACAAAAATTCATGCGCGGCCAATTAGTAATTGTCGTGTGCTATAAAAGATTCTCATAGTTCTTCAAAATGGAAATTTATTTCAATACAAGATATAGAAGGATGAGTTCACCTCAATAATATCTATAACGAACAGTGGTGCCATAGGATAGTCTCTTCACTGAACAATATAAACTTAGCGACATCTATTTTATTTTGGTCCTTCTGCAGTTTAGCCACACCCTTACGCTGATTGGTACATTACACGCAGCAATCAACGTGAGGGTGAGGGCGAGAGTGTGACTAAACTACAGTAGTACCAAAATCTTCCTCCGAACTTTTTGTGTATCTACCAAGTGTAGCTCAGAAACAAATACATGATGTTGCACCAATCAATTACACCAGACCACAGATCAATTATTTGATCGAAATTTTCGATAATGTATTTAAACGTTTTGTCAATTGAACAGTCTTTTTAATAACAAAATAATTTTCTTGATTTCTCCCTGTCATTATTAAAGTCATTTTCTAATAAATTCAATGCACGTTGGAAATCTCCGAGTTACTTTTTTTTTTTTATTAGCGAATGTAGCGCTAAATGGATAAATCTCAATTCTTAAATTGCAACAATAATAGATTGGTTGACAATGTTCCATATTGAGTCATCATAAGGAATATTCGAGATAATAGTCTCATTTATTTATGAAATTATATTCGATAGAATAAATAAACTATGAAATAGTAATCTAGTTCAATTATCAAAAACAAAGAAAACAATAGTTATGCTTAATATATTGCAGATTTTTTGAAAATAATATTACATAACAATTGAACAAATGCAATTATCAATTACTTCTGCTGGTACGAAAACTAAAAAAATTTTTTTTGATCTCAGAATTTTACGATATACCAATTTCTTTTCTTTGTAGGTGGTGTTTTATCATTATTAGATGAAAATACCGAAAAAGGTCCAGTCTATGCTCTTCATCGATTAAATGCTATTGTTGATGTTTTCTGGCCAGAAATTAGTGATTCAATTTCTAAAGTGTACGTATTTCAAATTTAACTATTTTTATTTTTATTCATTTGTTGTTTTTTTTTTAATCATTTAGTGAATCACTTTATGAATATGAAAATTTTAAACATCGAGAATTAGCTGCACTTGTTTCATCGAAAGTTTATTATCATTTAGGTTCACTTGATAATGCTCTTACATATGCACTTGGAGCTGGACGTTTATTTGATGTTAATGATAAAACTGAATATGTTGAAACAATTATTGGTTTGTCTATTTTTAAAATCTATATGTATATATAATTTTCTTATTGTTTTTGTTTTAGCTCATTGTATTGATAAATATACAAAATTACAAGTAGAAAAATTTCAATCAGATGGTACTGCTCAAATACATATAGATCAACGACTTGAAGATATTGTTAATCGAATGTTTCAACGATGTTTTGATGATAAAAAATATAAACAGGTATTATATAATTTATATAAGAACCATTCAACATAAACCATGATTGATCATGCTCCATCGATGATAGCTGATTTATCTATGTTATAATGGCAAATATTTGATGAGTTTCTACGCAAGCCGTTACAAAAAAGAAATATTATTTCGTTCTCGAGATATATAGATTTTTTTTGCTAAGGTCACTATCATCAAAAAAACATATTTTTTGTAATAGCTACATCCCATCCTGGATATATTCGTTTGGTTTGAAATTTTCAATGTGAATACATGTAAGGTTTGGATATCTACCGGCAAAAGATGAGCTCAAATAGATGACTGAACGATTTGAGTATATTAAGCATGAAAATAGAGCCATTTTAGAGATCTTCTTTTGATAAGACTCTGCAGGTTATTCTACAGCATCTCAGACCAATTCTTGTAGGATACTGTAGTATTCAGTATGTAGTTTAAAACCATACAACTCCGACTTTTATAGACCAGACTGACCGCTAGATCGATCCATTACAAAATCGTGATTTTCAACACAATCACAGTTTTGGTGAAGGTCTCCTGAACAATAGGCGGTATCTCGTAAGCTGAAATTTTTACGGGGTTCTGGAATTTCGCCAATACATCTCCTGGAATTTCGCCAATTGGCGAAAGTCCGCCGTACTTTCGTCAATATACCCTCGGAACTTTCGCCATTGGTGAATGTCTTATTGGCGAAAGTCTTATTGGCGAACATCCCGCCACCCATTTTTACTAGGATAAGTACTCATTGAGATCTGTCTCTCTGGTTGAAATTTCAATTTTTTAATGTGACTCAATGCACAAAATATCGAAAAATGACAATTTTTTCTCATGTACTTGGTAGTATTGATCAACTAATCAATGGTTCATCTATTTGAGCTCGTCTTTTTAAGGTAGGTATCGAAATCTCAGATGTATTCATATTGAAAGTTTTAAGTCAAACAGATATATCTATGATGAGATATAGCTGTTACAAAAATGTGCTTCTTGAACAATAGTAACCTTAGAAAAATAATTTTACGCCGAGAACGAACCAATATTTTTTTAGTAACGTCTTACACAGAAATTTATCAAACACTTGCCGTTATAACATAGAGACAAATCAGCTATCATCGATTAAGTAGAGTCGGTCACGACTTACGTAGAATGTCTTATAAAAAAAATTTCTATATTGATTTCTAAAATTTTTAGGCTATTGGTATTGCACTTGAAACACGTCGAATAGATATATTTGAAAAGGCTATTAAAGAAGCGGTATGATTATTTTTTTTGATTCAATATTGCTCAAAGAAATTCTTTTTTTTGATTTTTAGAATCATTCGCCTGAAATGCTCACATATGCATTGAAGATTACCATGCAATTATTACAAAATCGAAAATTTCGTACAGTTGTTTTACGTATACTTGTTCATCTTTATCTTAATTTACAAGTACCTGATTTTATTAGTGTTTGTCAGGTAGAAAAATTCTTTTGTTATCTTCATTAAATATATATATAGAGAGATTTTTATGTTTGATTAGTATTTAATCTTTCTTGATGATCCTGATCAAGTAGCTGATATTTTACAAACACTTGTTCGTGGTACAACTGATCAAATGCTTATGGCATATCAAATTGGTTTCGATTTATATGAAAGTGCAACACAACAATTTTTAAATAAAATTCAAGATGCTTTACGTGTTCAAGCACCAATACCAATTACGTTTGATAAACAACAAGGAATTATTAAAGACGAACAACAAGGGTAAGTTTTTTTTTGTTGAAACAAAAAGAAAAAAAAACTTTTTCCAATAAAATAAATAGAACGAATGGTAGTGAATCTATGGAAACAAATCAGAATGAAACTAGTAGACAATCAGTAGAAGAATCAACTGCACCTAAAGATAAATAATCTTTACAACAAGAACATAAAGATAAAATCTATAATTTAGTATGTAGATTATTATTATTATTATTATATGATATTATCTATTTTTTTTTTTATCAAGTCTCAAGAAGAAAAACAATTACAAGAACGTATTGAAAAACTCCCCTTCATGGATCGTTACCTTGTCGTGGTGAAGGGGCTTGTGTATTCCAAGGAAGCTGCGAGCTATACCGTAGGGAGAGCATACTCCCAGAAGGGACACCCATGACGGACAGGTCACAGCGGAGGGATCAGACTGAATTCGATCCACTGGAGAAGAAAATGGCAACCCACTCTAGAATTCTGTCAAGAAAACAAAAATGGACAATTAAATGTCCATCAGGTCACGAAGAGTCGGAATCGACTGAACAACAACAACAATTGAAAAACTATTAAATATTCTTAGTGGAGAAATAACTATTGGTGTACATATGCAATTTCTTATTAAAAATAATCATGCTGATTTATTAATTCTTAAACAAATTAAAGTAAGAAATATTATCAATCAATCAATATCTTTTAATCTTTTATAATTATTATTAAATAGGATGCTGTACGAAATTCAGTATGTCATACAGCTACTGTTATTGCCAATGGTTATATGTTATCAGGTACAACAAGTGATCAATTTTTTAGGTATATTCTAATGAAATTATTATTATTTTTTTCTATATAAACAATTAATATCAATATCTATATAGAGATAATCTTGAATGGCTTGCTCGAGCTACAAATTGGGCAAAATTTACAGCTGCGACAAGTCTTGGTGTTATTCACAAGGGTCATATAAAAGAAGCACTTAATTTGATGAGTGCTTATTTACCAAAAGATTCAACAGGTAATTCATCATATGCTGAAGGTGGTGGTTTATATGCACTTGGTCTTATACATGCAAATCATGGTGGAGATATTATTGATTATCTTATTAATCAATTACGTTCAAATTCAACACAAACGGATGTATGTAGAATGTTTTAATATAAATATCTCGGAATAAATATTTATTTATTTGTTTTCAGGCGGTTCGTCATGGTGCTTGTCTTGGCTTAGGTTTAGCTGCTATGGGCACAGCACGTAGTGATGTCTATGAATTATTAAAAACAAATTTATTACTTGAAGATACTGTAGCTGGTGAAGCAGCTGGTTTAGCTATGGGTTTTGTTATGCTTAGCACTGGTTCAGCACAAGCTATTGAAGATATGGTTCAAGTATGTTGAAATATAATACAAAAACAAAAAAAACTCATTATGAAATTTATTTATTTTTAGTATGCTCAAGAAACACAGCATGAAAAAATTTTACATGGTTTAGTTATTGATATTGTACTTGTTCAATATGGTCGTTTAGAAGAAGCTGATGCACTTATCGAACAACTTCAACGTGATAAAGATCCTATTTTACGTCGTTCAGCTATGTACACTGTTGCTATGGCATATTGTGGTACAGGTAATAGTGCAGCTGTACGCAAACTTCTTCATGTTGCTGTAAGTTTTCAAAGAAAAGAAAATATTTACTTAAAAAACAAAACTCTTTCTGTTTTCTTTTTTTTTATATAGGTTAGTGATGTAAATGATGATGTTCGCCGTTCAACTGTTAAATCACTTGGTTTTCTTATGTTTTGGTAAGTGCTAAAATTTCATATTCAATAGAAGTATAATTACACTTCTTATAAAAGTGCAAGAGAGAGAGAGAACAATTTGAATGACTTTTTTTTATTTCCTTCATTGATATAGTGTTAAATAAAGTTAGACGAGTTAATATCAATTTTTATGTTGATACAACTCTTGTTAAGTAGACAAAAAGAAGTTTGAATGGCTAGAAAAAAGTAACAATTATCAACATGAATTTTGTTACAATGTAAAATGAGATATATTTTGTGAACTTTTTTGAGAATATTTCATTTTGATTCAGTACATTAGAGTTAATAAAATTATATCTAGAATAAATACCATCATCATGTCTAGATGCATGTATGTGAATGAAACTAAATAGATACTTTTATAGTTCACTATTGACTAATGCTAATAAAATAAGATATTCATAGC